TCCCCCTCAAGTATTGCATCATAAATCAAACAAAGACATACAAATCTATACTATCTTCCCCATTAAGATATGCACAAATACAATTCCTCTTGAATATATGCATATCTACATCATCTTCCCCCTTTTGACATTATCAAAAAGAGATGGGCAAAAAGATATATGCTCATGCAAATAGATATCAAACAAACAAATAATATCACATTGTCCAACTAAAATATAAATCAACATTAGTTGGAATTAATAAAGTGAATCAACTTCCCCCTTAATTGATGCTTCACCCAATTATGTGTTTGGCGCATCTACTTCAACTCAAGTCGAAGTGTTCAAGCACACCTTCCGTAATGAATCTACGAAGCAAATCTTGGTACCCAATGCCTTTTGGGTCCAGGGGTGTTATGGCAATAATAAAAATCATATGAACGATGCATCACATTATCTTGACTTAGAAGCAAGTGCCTATACTTAGTGTAACAAACTGGTGTGATGTGTCCTACTTTATTCCAGGGCACGTAGCTTTCTTGCTACGCTCCCTATCTTGTCCAGGTCATCCTCATTATATGAGAGCCTGGTATATGTCGATGCCTTAGGCTAGCTTTCAGCTTCCTTCTCGTCTAGGTGAATCGTCTCAGATTCCCTAGAACGACGAGATTGGGCGGGACGATTCCCGCCAAGGCTTTCCATTCCGCTAGTCCTGCCCGTCTCAGGACCAAGACGTAGCTTGGAAGACTTGCGAGGTCCATCCTCTTTGTCCCCTAGGCGTATGAACTCCGAATCTTGGGTCTTGCTGGGTTTGGCTATAGCCTTACCCTTCCTTCTACGGGCTGCCTCTTGCTCCGCCTCGTCAACTTCATGGATATTCGATGGTGCTGCTTCGTTCATGGTCCCCGTCAAATTCACCGGACGTATAGGGACCATCCTAGGGACGAATGTCGACGGGGTCGACACCGGAGGTACCATTGAACTCATGATTGGTGGCATCATGCCCGGATAGGCAAATGGCATGAAGCCCCCTGCTTGTTGCATCATGGCCATCACCTGTTGATAGCCCTGCAGAGCTTGAGCATTTGCCGGGTCAGCAGCAAATTGAGCCAAGCTTGTCGGATATGGCGTGAATGCCCCCCCAGGCGTTGTTATTGAGCATGGGAACATTGTTTTCGTTGGCGCAGGAGTAGGGGTGGACATGATTGGGATCATGCCAACTGATCCTACCGTGGTGATTGGGGCAAAGGTCCTCCCCATGCTCGTCATCATCAGTGGGATGTCAGGAGTGCTTTCACTCGCAGCCTGGCTTGACACAGTGTTGTGGTTGCTTGAAGACATGATCGTGGATATTTAGTGGGGGCAAAGTTTTGACCTGGTCGAAAAAACTTTAAAAATCGGTCCCATGGTCGGCGCCAAAAATGATGGTGTAAATATGGGTGGGTGGGTTGACCGGGTTTGACCTGGACACTTGACCCGTAATATAAAACACACATCAAGAACACAAAGTATGACCTAGACCGGGTAAATCTCCTCAGTCCGAAATATATTTCTTACTTTGTCTCAAGAGTGTACTAGTTTTTTAGTGAGATAAAGAATGGATCCCCTCCTCTATCCAAGACATGTACTGTTCAATGAATTTAGCCTTCGGGCCTTCATATTTTATCCTTTTTGGACTTTTGTTTTAGCATTTTTGCTTTCTTTACTTAGTGGGTGAGTGGGAGTTATGTTCCCTCCCCCTTATCTTTTATTTCATTTACTTTGCTTAGTGGGTGAGTTGGAGACTTGTTCCTTCTGTTAGAATAAAGGACCAACGCTAGAGGGGGGTGAATAGCGTTTGATCAATAAAATCGCAGGAATTAAAATTTTAAAGGAATATAAAGCGGAAATAAAAGAGAGAAGAAGGCACACCAAGATTTATACTGGTTCACCACGACGTGTGGCTAATCCAGTCTCCCGAGAGACTCTCTCGAGCTACGCTACTACCTTGTTAAGCTTAACGGTGCTCAACGAAACCTTACAACTTGAGAGTTTGAGTCACACGAACCTCAACGCTATCCTCAAAGGAAACAGCCCTTCCTTTGAACAATGAGAGAAGACTCTTCTCTCCAAGTGTCTAAGAACACTAACAAATACTCAAGAACAGGACTCTCTTATAGAGTGAATATGAGTAAACTTTATACGCTCAAGAGCAACTCAATGACTTCACAAATTGGCTCTCAAAGAAGCTAAAGAATGAGAAGAATTTGAATGCACTGTAAACAATGGATTGTGAAGAGAGTTGATCATGAAAACAGACCCCAAGCACCCCATTTTATAGTACAAAAAAAACTCCAACGTTCAAAAACATTAGTGGGGTGATTAGCTTGATTTGTGGGATTAAAAGAAATTTGGGATCTGCTGGAAACTACCTGACCAGCGATGGTCACATACTACCCATCGCTGGTTAGTGCAAAATCTTCCTATTTTTAAAACCAAGGGTTACCTGACCAGCGATGGTCATCAGTACCCCATCGCTGGTTTGTATGTTGACTACTTCAATTAGGAAAGGATCAAGCATTAAACATTCCAACGGTCAGTGCTACCCAGCGATGGTCTAAGCTTACCATCGATGGGTGACCAGCGATGGGTGTAATGCACCATCGCTGGTGAATGACTTACTGGAATGGGGTATTATTTGAACCCAGGCTACCCAGCAATGGGTGGAACTCACCATCGCTGGTTGATGGCCTACTGGAATTCTTTCAAAGCTGAAGCATGCCTTACCAGCGATGGGTAATGCCTACCATCGCTGGTTTTGAGGTTCAGTGCCAACATGGTCTGAAGACCAGCTAACCAGCGATGGGTAATGCTAACCATCGCTGGTTGGGAGAGTTATTAAAACACATGTTTTGAAAGGTTTTTCACAAAAGACATATTTGAAAAGTATTTTGATGTTATGCAAATGCAAGAGATAATTCTTTAGCCTAAAGAGCCAATAGATGAGTCTTGGGTCGATCTTGATCACAATAGGATCGACTCAATACATTTACACCTAAGTCTTTGTTCTTGGTTCTCTTTTAGGCTCTCGTTCTCGTTTTCTTGATTCTCGCCTTGTGTATTCTTTTCTTGCGTTTGTTTCACGGCGGTTTGGCATTATCAAAACCTGTAACAAAAACAGACACGGCTTTAGTATTACGAAGTGATAAACCGTGATTCAACAATTTCCCCCTTTTTGATAATGGCAAACAAGACGGGGTTTATGCATTTGAGAAGCAAGGTTTATTTGAAAAGATTCCCTTAAGTTCCCCCTTAATCAAAGCATCATTATTAATATTTTAAATTCTTGGAAATTTAATACTTTGAAAAAGATTGTTTAAGGATAAAGGTTCCCCCTCTAATTGTGCATAACCCAACATCTTCCCCCTTTTGACATTAACAAAAAGATTTAAAAGATAACTTTTATTCAATAACGATAAGGGAAATGCGGAATACAACGGAATAGTAAAGAAAACAACATAGTAATAATAAAGATAAGGAGTGAAGAAAGTCTAGGAGTCTTCATCGTCGTTCTCGTCATCCTCAACGTCCATGGCATCGCCGTCCACCTCTTCATCAAACTCGTCCTCGTCGGGTGACGACGACGGAGCATAGGAGTCGTCGTCCTCATCCCCGCCATCATAGTCTTGGCCGAGGAAAGTCCCATCATACGGAGGAGGGACGTACTGGACTTGTTTGAAGTAGGCGCGCATATCATGACGTTGGCGCTGCACAGTCCGGTCAATGCGCTCAACGGCACGGCCCATGTCATCAATGTTGACCGTGAGGGCGTTGAGAGAGTCGGCAATAGACTGAAGAGAAGCTCGGGCAGGGGCAGCGGTAGTGACACGGCTTGTCCCTGCGCCATTGCGGTTTTCGGACTTCTTCCGGAAGGTGCCATCGTTGATGAGCCAAAGCTTGGTCATCTTGGTGACGGGGCCGGCGATGTGGATGTTGTTGCGTGCAATGATCTCCATGACTAGGAAAGCATAAGGGAGACTTCTCTCGGTGCTAATGGATGCACAATCGGGCATGTTGATCATGATGAACTTGGCCCAATTGACGTCGGCTCCGTGCATGATCGCGTGGATCATCTTGACGTCTTCGGTGAAGAGGGTGGTGTGGCTGTGATCCCGAGGATGGAGAACCCGGGTGAGAAGGTAGAGTAGGACCCTCTTCTCCAAAGGAGCGGAGTGAATGGTCGGTGCACCCTTGTGTCGGATGAGGTTGGTGATGCCAAGCTCTCGAAGGACCACGCCTTCGTTGTTGACGTACCAATCTTCGCCTCCGTACGTCGCGATATCCTCTCCCCGAGTAGGCAGCCCTGAGACGCGAGAGAGGGTGTCCAACTTGATCTCTATTTCATAGAGATTGATGCTCGTCTTGAGGACGTCCCCTTCTCGCCGTAGGTTGGAGTAGAACACACGCACAAGCCCGTGGTTGAAGCTTTGGTGGCTCTTGGAGACGAACGGCCAAAGTCCTGAAGCTTGGAGCTGGTTGTCGAGACCATGAAACCCCTTTTGTTGGGGGTAAAGCTCCGGGAGGATGCGAGGCGGCGCGATGGGGCGCGTATTGAAATAGGAGAGGAAGTGATGGAGCTCCGCCTCCGATCCAAACTCGAGAAACGACCCATCAAGGTACGGGTACGTTTCGGGCAGCGAGGACGATGCATCGGCCGTGCTCTTCTTCTTGGACATGGTGGCCTTGGTCTTGGTTTTTCCTCCGGCCATTTGAGAAGAGTTTGAGAAGAAAAGATGAAGAAAGAGTCAACTATTGCTCAATGGATTGATTTGGAGTGAAAAAGATGAGGAAAAATGACCCAAAAATGGGTCGTTTTTATAGAAAACACTCATTTGTCCGTTGGGTATTTGAAAAAGAGCTGTTGGGCATTGAATGTGGTGCCCAACGGACTGATTTTTTTTGAAAGAACCCGTCAAACCAGCGATGGGTAACCTGACCATCGCTGGTCGCCCATCGATGGGTAAGAAAAACCATCGATGGGGAGGGGGTTTCTGGAAATTTATGAAAAAGAAAAGAGGACCAACCAGCGATGTGTCAAAAGCACCATCGCTGGTAAAGGAGCTACTGGAAAGTCTGGAGTTGAGCACAAAAGGCTTACCAGCGATGGGTAAGAAGTACCATCGCTGGTTTGGGAGCCACTGGAAACCCAAGCCTCTGCAGACCAGCGATGGTCCCTTACACCCATCGATGGGTAAAGATAGCTGGAATGCGATAAGAAATTTTTTTAAAATAACATGGAGTAAATGACCATCGATGGTGTAAATGTACCATCGATGGGTACCTGGTCCTGGTGGAATCGAATGCTTTACCCAGCGATGGTTATATTGACCCATCGCTGTCCTGACCAGCGATGTGCTTGGCTTACCATCGCTGGTTCCCCCTGTCTTCCAAAAACATTTAAGTGATGCACCTGCAAAAAAGAGTTAGAAAACCCTCCGAAGCTCAAGTTAGTAATGATTTAATGAATGATAGATAAAATGCACATATTAGATCAAGGTAGAGTCAAGGATTCCTAGTTCGCTACGAATTCGGAAGAACGACTCTTTCTCTAAAGGCTTGGTGAAAATGTCGGCAAGTTGAGACTTTGTTTCAACGAACTCAATTTTGACATCACCTTTGAGAACTTGATCTCTGATGAAATGGTGCCTAATGTCAATGTGCTTTGTTCTTGAATGAAGAACGGGGTTCTTCGTCAAGCTTATGGCGTTAGTATTATCACAACGAAGAGGAACGTGATCGATACTAAGGCCATAATCCACGAGTTGTTGCTTCATCCAAAGGATTTGAGCACAACAACTCCCAGCGGAGACATACTCTGCCTCGGTAGTGGACAAAGCAACACTAACTTGTTTCTTACTAAACCATGAGACTAAAGAACTACCAAGCAAATGGCACGTCCCACTCGTACTTTTGCGGTCTAGTTTGCAACCCGCGAAGTCCGAGTCGGAGTAGCCTACAAGATGACACG